ATTAACATAGCTAATAAAGATTATACATAAACCGAAAAAAAAGTTGAAAAATACGTAATCCGAATATTAATGATACTAACTGTATGTCGTAATATTAGTAATAGTAGTCGCCTTTAAGTCTCTTTTCTGAGTTGTGTTCTGTCAATCTTCTTCTTTCTGGTTGCATTTCTCTTGATTATCGAAATCATTGCAACCCTATGCTCTGAGTCAGCTATAACCGGGACAGTAACATCTATAGTTGTCCCTCTCTCTCTATCTCTCAATACTTCCTTGAATTGTCACAAATATGACAGACAACTCAATCGAATATTACGAGCTGTTTCCTTCTCTCTAATAATGCAACTGGTCATGATGTCATATATGTATATACAATATATATACATACATATGTATGTATTGACTATGAAATATAATTATTTAAAATTAGCTACTTATAAAAAATAGAAATTAGAAGCTGCCAGATGTAGATAAGGTAGAAAATACAGGAACAACTTAAATTAATTTTGTTCAACTTGCGTAAGAGAGAATGAAGGAAAAACATATGGATATTGCATATGGCTTACGCCCTTAGCTTAACGTTATTTGGCCAACACTGGAGAGTACAGTGAGCTATCCATTAACGGTTTATCAACAGCAAATTCCGTTGGCTTAAGCCGCTTGACCCAATTCCTTGCGGATGCTTTTTTCGCACGGTGCACGTGGCCGACGGCATTGTCTGCTCTCTCTCTCTCTCTCTCTCTCTCTCTCGCTCGCTCTCTTTGCTAGCTGCTTGTAGTTAATTTCACCTGCTTACTGTCCATTTTGTTCGAGTGGGGTAAATGCCGCGAAAAAGAAGAAGCAGAAGGAGCAGCAGCTAAGGAAGTTTCTGCAAATCTTGGCAAGCGCGCACTAAGCTGATTTTCTGGGGCGCTGGCTAAGTTTGCTCGCCCAAACTTGGCCAAATGCTGGCTGAGCCATTAATTGAATTCTGGCCATGTCCGCGGAAATTTACTATAAAGTTTTAGCCACGTTCCCATATAAAGAATATATATAATTCTTTTGTTTGTGTGTTTTTTGTTCTTTATTTTCAACTCTTGAGTGTTTTTTATTTTTAAATAATTTTATCAAATGCATTTTTATGTTTATAAACCAAGTTTACAAATCTAGCTTCATTTAACAGCATCTTGAACATTTATAGAGCCAGCCGAAATTCTGGTTGTTGTTGTTGTACATTAAATAACTTGAATTAGTTTTTGTTATACCCTGAACCCATTGAAAATGGGAAATCAGGGTATAATGGTTTTGTTTTTTTGTTAAGTTTGATATGCATCAAAATCCGTTTTGATGTGTGAATGTTGCGCGTGTTGCAGTTCTCCTTCAGCTCCTTAATTACTTCATCCTTTCTTCTTTCCTTTAAGTCTCTATGAGTGGGTGAGTGTATGTATGTGTGTGTGTGTATGTCTGTTTATGTCTGTGTGTTGAGTAGTATTGTCATTTTAGAAGAACATCGAGAAGAGGCTTCTTACGCCAATGGAGCCAGCTCCGGAACCGAGGCCAAATCCTGTGGAGGGCGTTCCGCTGCTCCGATGACGGGAGACATGGCTGGAAGTGTTCTCACGAACACGATCGTAGCTGGCAACATCCTGTAAGGGAAGATTGGGAACGATTAATTTGGAAATTTAACAGAATTTTCATTAGACTATAGCGTACTGGTCCAGCACGAACTCGAGTTGCTTGCAGTTTGGGCAGGTTTCGCATGTGCCGCACGTGTTGTACAGCGACACGACTCTCACCTCTTTGTCGGCATTGGTTAGGATCGAGCGCATTGAGTTGGCCACCGGCCACTTCTTTTTCATCAGCAAATTGCTTGGCGGATCGTGAGTGGCGCCAGTATCAGCGGACCAAATGGTCACGCTGGCACCGCCCAACACCTTCGAGCCGCGCGAGAACTTAAAGGCGAGCTCCTCATCGCCCGCAATGCGGGTCAGCTGCCAACCGGTCAGGTTGATCTCCTCGGTGCCCTTGTTGTGCAGCTTGATGAAGCGGCCCTCGGTGTCGGCTTCGATAATCTCTAGATCGCCCTTGGCGGCCGCATTGACCGAGTACTCGGACAGGGTGCGATCCTCGCTCTCATCGATGACGGTGCGGCGGCGCTTCACGGCGCTCGCTCCGGAAATACCGGGTGTGGCAGAGCGGCGTCCGCTGGGCGTCACACGGCCCGAACGGGAGCCACCGCTGGCAGTCAGATTGCCATTGCTGGAGATGCCGGAATCGGTGCCGGGGCGAGCGGGCGAGTTGATTTGGAGGCGACGCTCCTCGCCGCGCAACAGCTTATCATAGGCAGCCAACTCCAGGTCCAGTGAGACCTTGATGTCCATCAAATCCCTATACTCCTGCAGCTGTTGTGCCATCTCATCGCGCATGCGCTGCAGATCCGCCTCCAGCGTGGCAATGTACTGGTTATGACGCATACGCTCCGAGTCCAACAGATTCTCCAGCTCGCGAATGCGTGCCTAATGATCAAGAGGAACTCAAATGAATAGGAAAGAAATTCGCTAAGAGCTAATCTCAGTTGCTTACATTCAGGCCGGCATTGGTGTTCTCCAGATCCTGCAGCTTGTTGTTGAGCCCATCGATCTTGGTGCGCATCATACGCACCTCTTCGGAGGCATGGAGTGAGCCCTGGGCGGCGCGATTAGCAGCGGCCTTCAGATTCTGAATCTCGGTGTCGTAGAGCAGCTCGATCTCCTCGCGATTGGCGCGCATCTGAGACTCGTACTGATCGCGCAGCTCCTGCAGAGACTGCTGCAACTTGTCCTCGTATTCGCGCGAGAGACGGCCATCGAGTTCATTGATCTCGATCTGGCGACGCGAGCGCGTCTCGGTCAGCTCCTGGGAGTGCACCTGGTCCTTGAAGGCCAGCTCCTCGCGCAGGCTCTGATTCTGGTTCTCCAGATCGACGCGTGCCAATGTCTCGGCCTCGAGCTGCTTGCGCAGATCATCCAGCTGGCGGCGCAGACGCTCGTTCTCCACCGTCAGCTCCTTCACCTGATCCTCGGCCTTCTTGCGATCGTTCAAGGCCTGATTGTACTTGCCATTGGCTTCGGTGTAGCGAGATTCATAGAGACGTGCATTGTTCTCAGCCGCGTTGGCCTCTTTAATTTTCTTGTCAAGTCTGCGAACGGCATGAAACGAGATGTTTTGGAATGTTGTAAGGGATTACTAATAACAATATATGGCGCAATGCTTATCACTAGACACTGTGCACACCAATTGATGACGTCATACAGCGCTTGTGCTCTCCCTCTCTTTCTTGCTTAGAATATCTTATGCCTATCAAAGCTTTGCTCGCTTACCCTCTCACTCTCCCTGTCTCTTTCACTCTATAATTTATTATTCATCGCTTGAGTTTCTTTTGGTTGCTGCCTTGAAATCTTCAGATGCCATTAGCATAAAGTAGCCAAGCTATTTTCTGCCCAATACATATCTATATCTTTATCTCTTCTCACACACACACACACCACCTCTCTCTCTCTCTCACACACATAATTTATGTGCACCAAGCTACTTCAAACGTTTTTTTGTTTTATATTTTCTCAATGTGGCTAAAAACAAACTTGTTTATTTGCCTAACAAAAATTCCGCAATCTATATAAAAAAAAAGAAAACGAAAACATAAAAAATGTCGTCAACATCGACTCTCGTGGTTTTCTCGTGCACGTTTGATTTTTTTTTTCGACTATACTTTCAGCTGTACTAAATTTAGCGCCAATATCAGCTAGAGCGATATTTCAGTGTACTTACTCACAGACACACAAATTTAAAGCTAATTATGCTATTTAACCTTCTCTTAAGTAGCTACAATTAGGCAGCATCTAAGGCAAAGATCTCTGTAGTTCTTCATGGCCCAATTAAATGTTTGCCTTTTTATAAAATTTAATTGCCATCGGCTAACATAATTTTTGATGTCTTTTTGCTGTCTTTTTATGTATTTCCATTACACCAAAACAAAAAAAGAAAAAAAAAAGTAAATAAACAATTTGTTTGTGTAGACTAATCAACAACGTCGCACAGAAATAGACGAAATCCCAAGGTTGCTCTTTCGGTTCTATGGCATGCGTGACTCGTACACCCCGTGCTGCGCCTCCCCCTTGGGTATTCCGCCACAGGGAAAATAAATTAATATGCTACCAAGTGACCTAATTTATGAAAGCAAATTCAATTTTTTTTTTTATTTTTTATTATGAATTTAAACGTCATGCAGCGCAGTGGGTTAATTGTTCAAAGAAATTGAGGGCCTGACTCAGTAGC